GATATTTTATTTAACGCAGAATGGCATGTTTGAGCGTCAAGATAAAATCATTATAATTTGTTATAACACATGTAAAATGATTATTATTAAACCATTTATTTTGAAAAATATATTTTATATATCACTTCCTATTCTGTAATACCTGTATATAAAATCCGATTCTAAAAAAATATATATATCTAATATTTGATATGAAATCAGATATCATATCTCAGATGAAATTATCATCAGATGAAATTATCATGGTTTTTTAGAATCTGGAAGACGTCTCTCAGATATCCGAGTGATATCTGAATAGTTTTTCGTCAATCAGATATTGTGATATTTAAATATCTTCCAGATATCTCTATGATATTTTTTGCTGTGTGGGATTGATTTGGTAGTAAAAAGTAGCTATTGCCATGCATGCACCCCTTTCAAAAATAACGCCGACGACCCTGAAGGCGAAAATCACATGAAGAATTGTTCCATCAATCATAAAGGCTCGGCGGGAAAGATGAAGGTTGACGCCGATCTCGAAATGTTTCGCCGTTCTGAAGAAAAGTTTGGTGTTCGTTACACTAATTACGTGGGGGATGGCGATACAAAAACTTTCAAGTCTATATTAGACGCTAAGCCATATAAAGATATTGCAGTTATGAAAAGTGAGTGTGTGGGCCATGTGGAAAAGCAAATGGGAAGTCGCTTTCGAAATGTGAAAAAAACCGCAAAACTTGGCGGCAAAGGCAAACTGACTGATGCTTTAATTAAAAAATTGACAAAATATTACGGCCTTGCAATACGCAGAAATGCAAATTCAAAAGATAACATGAAAAAAGAAATAATGGCTACGTTTTACCACTTGATCTCGACCGATGAAAATCCGCAACATCACTGTTGTCCCACTGGCGCCTACTCGTGGTGTGCGTACAACGCTGCTCAAGCAAACAAAGCTACTTATAAACATCCAGCCCCTTTACACCCAGAAGTCTTTACAAAAGAATATTCTTCCGATATACGAAGATTTATCACGAGACGATCTACTGGAGCGTTGCATTGGCGGTTTCACTCAAAACGATAACGAATCTTTTAATGTGACTGAGTGGCGTTTAGCACCTAAACATTTGAATTGTGGATCAAAAATAATAGAAATTGCGGCATATTTAGCTGCAGGAATATTCAATGATGGATATTCATTTGTCCTTAGAGTCATGAACGATCTGAAACTGCCAATTGGCCTGGAATGTAAAAGGTTCGCAGATTCGTACGACACCAATCGAGTGAAGAGACAAAATCTACGCTCATTAAATTCGTCCAAAGAGGCCAGAACTGCTCAAAAAGAGAAGAAAACAGCAGAGATGGGTGATTTCCTTGAAGTAGAAGGCTTGCTCTATGGTCCTGGCATTGCTGATTAAGCTTTGGTATTTATAAATCACTTTAAACTCTACTTTTCAAGAACGAAAACTTAAATCGTTTTTCTCGAAACACGTTTTTTTCCGCGCCGTGCAGCATAACTCGAAAAGTTTTCAACCGATTGACTTGAAATTTTACAGATATTCTTTAACTTATTGGCCTTTGCATGAACCTAAAATTTTATAAAAATTGTGATATTAAATATTGTTTTTAACAATTTGTTTATGAAAAAAAGTATTTTTTTTCTTTTTGTCCTCAAATTTTTATTTTTCACTTTTTTTGTTAATTTTAGGTTCATGCAAAGCAGAATTTCATATTTTATGGAAAATGTTGGTTTGTTGATTTCAGATAACTACAAGGACCTGGGCGTTGCACGGCGCAAATCTTAGGAGACAAGTTTGGTCAGATGTAGCGCCGCCATTTTGTTTTTATTAATAAACAATTTTTTCTTATACATTTTAACGTCTACTTTAATATGTAACTTCAGGAATTGCAATAAATGCTTTCAGTTTTTTGTAACAAATCATTGAAAAACACGTTGTTTACAGGGATTTCCCCCCTTAATTAACGATACATGTTCAAAATCGCGCTAAATAAAAGCGGGCGCCCGCAGCCGTGCTCTCACCAGGAGAGAGACGTGATTACGCGTGTAATGCTTTGAGCGTCAAAGCATCTTCGTAAGCCGTGAATAACATTTTGTGTCATGAGTCTTGCTCCGCTTGTTTTCCAGAAAGATCCACCGGAGAACCAAGCATTTCACCTTCATTTCCTGCCGCTCATGACACAAACCTGTTATTAACGACGACCGCAACGATCGTCGAAACCAACGTTTCGCTCAATCTCGCAACAAGCCTGCGCATCGCGTCGCTCCGATCAGCTGATCGCCAATCACGCGACGCCGTCTTCCCAGGCGCATGGCAAGTGCGAGCCTTCTCGCGAAGGGACCTCTCGGCTTCCAATGGCGTGTGACGCCCTGAGGTCACCTCAAAACTTAAAATTTGCCACAAAACTATTGGCGAACAATGCGTAGGAAGCAGATTCTCCAACCTCTATAAAACAAGCAGGACTCGACCATCGAGTCGAGTTCTCGTTCTTCAGTTTATCTGAGAAAACCGCCAACCTGTGTACCGCTAACACAACCGCTTATACGACACCCGCTCTACTTTCGGCTTACTCTTACGGACTTGATTCCTTAACGCTCGCGACCGGAGTTTAGAAACCTGGTGCGCCGTGCTGGTTTCATATTATTGTAAAAATACCTATAAATAGACTCTTGTAAATATAGATGTTCTTTGTTAA